GTTTCAGTCTTTGGTTCACATGAGAACCACCCAATGAACTGTGAACTCAAAAGTGTTTGAGACAGGTCTCAACCAATTTAGAAAGTTTATTTTGCCAAAGTTAAGTATACGTCCATGACACAGCCGCAAGAGGTCCCGATGACACGTGCCCCAGCTAGTTGAGGTGCAGCTTGTTTTTATACTTTTTAGGGAGACATGCACATCATTATTACCTGTAGTATTTTTATTATTTTATTTTTATTTATTTTTTTTGTAGATTTTTTTTTTAAAGAAAGGAGAGAAGGAAAGAAAGAAAAAAAGGAGTGAAGGAGAGGAAGAAAGAGGAAGAAAAAGAGGGAGAGAGAATGGGAATGTTGCTTTATTCTAAAAATGGGTATTGAAAACCTCTTTTATGCCAATAATTGTGCTTAATAATGGCCGATCAATATTTCATTTAAACCTATTGTGACATGGTAAAAAGCCCCATCAAACTGCATACCTCAACCATACCTCGGCTTTCTGTTGAAACTGCTCTCTATAAGTGAATAAGTAATTGAGGACTGTGATTCCCTCCCTACCCAGACAATGTGTGAATGCTAATCTTCGCTTTTGTGAACCACTTAAGTAACAATCAGAATGTCAAATAGTCCCCTGGCCCTCGGAATGTCTGAAGCCTTTCATCCCCATCCCCGCTCCTCACCCCCACTCCCAAGGTGCTTTTACGGGTATAAAAAGGTCTTGTCACCCTTCTTTTTCTGCCACGGGTTGGAGAGATGTGAGTCCTCTGTGGTCGCAGGCAATAAACCCTGCAATTTGGCATACTTTTGTCTTGGTGTTGACTTTCTATGCTTGGTCCGGTATAACACTATGAGCAGGTGTGATGTGGTACTGACGAGAATGTATATTTTGTATATTTAAAGTGGAGAGTTCTAGAAATGTTTATTAAGTTTACTTGTTCTGGATCTGAGTTCAAGTCCTGGATATCCTTATTAATTTTCTGTCTTGTTGATCTATCTAATATTGATATTGAAATCTCCCACTATTATTGTGTGGGAGTCTAGGGAGTCTAAGTCTCTTTATAGGTCTTATGTATCTGGGTGTTAGGATCGTTAGCTCTTGTTGCATTGATACTTTTACCACTATATCTTTGTTGCTTTAAAATCTATTTTATCAGATGCAAGAACTGCAACTCCTGCTTTTTATTTATTTATTTATTTTTGCTGTAGTATTACCTGTACATCATTATTACCTGGAGTATTTTTATTTATTTATTTTTTAATTTTAAGATGAGGTTTCACCATGTTGGTCAGGCTGGTGTTGAACTCCCGACCTCAAGTGATCCACCCATCTTGGCCTCCAAAGTGCTTGGATTACAGGCATGAGTCACCACGCCCGGCCTATTCCCTGCAGTATTACAACGTAATATGTACCTTGGTTCCATCGGGAAAGGAGGATTAACTTGAAGCAAGGTGGTGGGGGCTTCCAGATTATAGGCAGATTTAAAAATTTCCTGGTTGGCAATGGTTTGAAAGAGTTCATTATTTTCTAACAACCTAGAATCAATAGAAAGGAATGTCTAGGTTATGATGATAAGGGTTTGTGGAGAACAAAGCTTTCTCATGCAGATGAAGCCTCTGATAGCAGGCTCTAGGGTGAACAGACTGTAAATGTTTGTCCAGCTTAAGTTCTGTGTTGATGTTAATGCTGATCAGCTTTTCCTGGATTCCAAAAGGGAAGAGTGTATAAGGAAGCATGTCTGACCATTTCCTTCTCATCATGGTCTAAACTAGCACTTCAGGTTAACTTGGGAATGTTCTTGGCAGAGAGGAGAGGTCCATTTCATACAGGAGTTATTAAGAAATAATTTTTAGGCAGCTAGAAAGGGGGAAAGTTCTCAGTGGAATTTTCCTTGAATGAAAAGCAACCCCCAAAATTTCCTTTCTAACAGAAAGTGGCTTGAAAAACCAGACCGCCAAGCATTGATATGCAAATGTGGTGGCTGGAAGCCAGGTACATTCAATATGGTGTCTCCCACCCTCTTCTTTGTCAACTTGTGTGCCAGGTGTCATGGCAGCCTCCAGATAAAACCACCTGTGCAGGACATCAGGGCGATGTGCACTTGCATATTAAAAAGACTGAGGTGGGAGGGCCAGTTTTTGCTGGCTACATGAATGACACACCTGGTCACACCAATCCCCTGGGCCCTATGCAAATCAGACACCACCTCCTCTGGCCTCCGAATGTAACCAACTGCTTTTTGCTGCATATGGGGTTTTTCCGTTCAGAGCCCCCTCTCCCTCTGTATGTTTTCTTCTTTCTTGCCAATTAAACTTTGCGCTCCTTTAAAAAAAAACTCCACCTGTGTTTGTGCCACTAATTTTCTTGGTGCAAGACCAAGGACTCTGGGTGTTTCTCCAAACAATGGAGCTGTATCATTTTGGTGCATTGGCTGGAATTCCAAGGTACAACATTCATTGGAGTGGTGAGTAGAGGAGCAAACTGAAAATCTGTCCTATCATTTTGAGGCGCTTAGCTTCTATTTTAAAATCAAATCAAATCGAATCAATTAATGGGCATCTTTCCGCTGTCTAGATATGCTTATTTTGGCTGCCATTCTTAAAGACTTAAAGGATGTCAGGCTTGCTGGAGAGGACATGGAGAATCCTCCCAGTACCCAAAGGTCATTGAGAATGTTGACCATACTTCAAACCAGTTTCTTTTCATGGGGAAACTTAGCCATCATGTGAGGCTGGGAAAAGTTCAAAGCAAGGAGAATTCCTGGCTGGGACACACCCTGGTGTTATTCAAAGGCTTCTGGACTGGACCTGGCCTCTGACAGCCTGCTCTGGGTGTTGATAAATGATTCCCAGCTATCCTATTACAAAACTTTGTTTCTTTTTTTTTTTAATCAGCAGTCATTATGTGTCTTATTCTCTGTGTGTCAAATGTATGGAAATTTTTACAGCCTAGGGAAGTAATCCTGTTAGGCAAAATCAGGAAATGCTGTAGTAACCAGGGATATAACTCAGGGAAATGCCATTGTAATCTAGGAACAGAGGTCTCCCCTTCCCCTATAGTGAGGTTACTTGCTAATATTCCTCTGGTGAGCACATGGTATTTCTTATTTCCCTTATTTATTTAGAGGTGAAATTTTGCTCTTATTGCCCAGGCTGGAGTGCAATAGAGCCATCTCAGCTCACCACAACCTCTGCCTCTGGGTTCAAGCAATTCTCTTGCCTCAGCCTCCCGACTAGCTGAGATTACAGGCATGCGCCACCATGCCTGGCAAATTTTGTATTTTTAGTAGAGATGAGATTTCTCCATGTTGGTCAGGCTGGTCTTGAACTCCCGAGCTCAGGTGATTCATCTGCCTTTGCTTCCCAAAGTGCTGGGATTACAGGTGTAAGCCACCATGCCCAGTCCAGTACATGGTATTTCTAAGCCAGTAGTGCAACCTAGTAGAAATTTAGAGATCCTATTTATAAGACACATTGCTGGTCCTCTGTGGTACACTGCCATGTCCCCAGTTTTCCTTTTTGTGCCTTTCTACTGGAAACCAAGTTTTATGCTGTGCCTGTAAATGAGAAAATCCTGCCTTCAGCAATTAGGAGTAAAATGTCCTCCACAGCCAAATTTGAGAGCTTTGCCTTTTATATAGTCTTTCCCAAGATCCATTTTTTTTTTTTTTTTTTTTTAGGGAGCCACACAGGTCACACAAGTCTAGGAAGTCAAAGGGAAATCATAGGTAGAGGACTAGAGTTACTTGGGTAAGCATGACTAGCACCCACACTTAGTTTCTCTGGTACCATGGCTTAGAGGGTCACACCTATAACCATGGGTGGCACATTTAACGGGGGGCTGAGACCCAGGAGCCAGGGAGGGAAAACAGTTGAGGGGATGTTCCCACTGTCTTCTCCACCCTGGGTCACTTACAGAAAGGAAGGAGACTAGAGGGATGCCTTCTCTCACTTCTTTTTCTAGATGGGTAACAGATTATCTTCAGCACGTACCCCTCTGGAGTGCACTCTGAAACACTGGAACTTCTTTAGCCTCAGGACTTTGAAGAGAAAAGCAACTCATTTTCTTTCCCACAAGGGCATGCATTTTTACTAAACCTTTGCAAGTGTTATAAGATAAACCCAGCTCTTTTAGGAATCATATCAGGCAGGCCCAAAGAGATTAATTCCCCCAAATTAGAGAAGCAACTTCCAGAGGAGCCATCTGAGGATCCCCCTTATTTGAGGCCCTTTTAAGTTCCCTTCTTATTACAAGACCTTAGGCAAATAAAGGGAGACAGGCCGATTTTCTAAAGATCCTGATAGGTATATAGAAACTTTCTCAAATTTAACTCAGGTATTTGACCTCACTGGAGGGATGTTATATTGCTCCCAAGTCAGACCCTCTTTGCAGCTGAAAATAACTGGTTGTTTAAAGGAAGGGTGTTTAGAACAGGTCAGAAAGTTTCAGTATGTTTTAAGAGGGTCTGTGAAAATCATGAAAGAGTTTAATAGTGAAAGGAAAGGAATTATCAAGATTAACACTAAAGTTATCTTGGCCATCCAATAACGTATTTCTCCTAATAATATTGCAATTTATAAAACGGCCTAAGCCTAAGATTATTCTCTACTGGTAAGTCATGGGGGGAATGTATACTTTTCTCAAGGAAAATGTTACTTTTATATTAATGTTGCTGGTAATGTACAGCGACATCTAGTGGATGAAAGTCAGTATTACAATCCATTGGTGTAAGGTATCAAATTAGAGTGTTATTGTTAGGCTCTATAGGACTTCCACTGACAGTGGTAATCTTGTTTTGGTGGGTTTTTTGTTGTTGTTGTTGTTGTTGTTTGTTTTTTAGACAGACTCTATCTCTGTCACCCAGGCTGGAGTGCAGTTGCATGATCTCAGCTCACTGCAACCTCTGCCTCTTGAGAGGAAGCAATTCTCCTCCCTCAGCCACCTGAGTAGCTGGGACTTCAGGTGGCATACCACCATGCTCAGTTTGTATTTGGATAATTTTTTATTTGTATTTCCATATAACATGTTGGCCAGTGTTATATGAAAATTTTCGGTGCCGCAAAAGAAGTAGCACTCGAATACAAATTTCCTCAGCAAGGCAATTTACTTCTATAGAAGGGTGCGGCTCACAGATGGAACAATGGCAAGTGCACACCTGGACAAGGGAGGGGAAGAGGGTTCTTATTTCTGACAGAGGTAGACCCTACTGCTGTGTTGTTCCCCTATTGGCTAGGGTTAAACCTCACAGTTTAGGCTAATTCTGATTGGCTATTTTAAAGAGAGCAGAGGTACTAGCCTGAGTGGTGGGGTGGTAGTTTGGTGGGAAGGACAGTTATGAGACAGGTCAGAGCAGGTAACCAGGGGTCAAAGCAGGTGACCAGGGCAGGTGACCAGGATGAGTCAGGATGGAGCAGGGGACTGGGGGAACAGATGTGAACTACTGATTAGAATTGGTGGAAAACGTTGTTTGCTGAAACTACAAGGAAGTTAAACTTTAAAATGGAGAATTAAAGGATAAGAGAGCTGAAAATACTGACATATTGATTCTATGAAGAGAATCTTGGAGTTAACTACATCTAATAGCCAGTTGGGTCTTGAACTCCTGACTTCAGGTGATCTGCCCACCTTGGCTTCCCAAAGTGCTGGGATTACAGGCGTGAGCCACTGCACTCAGCCAACAGTGGTAATCTTAATATTCATGTTCTAACCCTGTATTTTAAACCTTCTTTTAAAATTTATCTATTTTCATCTAGAAGCAATCAAACTCCAAATGGTACTGCAGACAGAATCACACATGGACATGCCATTCTTCTAAGAATCCTTGGATCAACATCAGGAGGAGGCCCAACAGCTGCCCCTCACATGACACCCCATTTTCAGCAGGAAGTAGCCAGAAAGAATTGTCACCCAACATGCTCTAACAGCAGTTAGGTTTACTTCTCCAGAGGTGGGAAATACAGGAGTTATTTAGAAATAATTTTTAGGCAAGAGTGAAAGTTCTCAGTAGAATTTTCCTTTAATAAAAAGCAACCCCCAAAACATTTCTTTTCTCACAGAAAGCGACTTGAAAAACCAGACCGGCAAGCATTGCTATGCAAATGCTGGTGGCTGGAAGCCAGGTACGTTCAATATGGTGCCTCCTGCCCTCTTTACCTTGTGACTACGTGTGCCAGGTGTCGCGGCAATCTCTAGTTAAAGCCACATGTGCAGGACATCGTGGCAACCTGAATTTGCATATTAAAAGATTAGGGTGGCAGGGCTAGTTTTTTCTGGGCTATGTGAATGACACACCCAGTCAAACCAATCCCGTGGGCCCCATGTGAATCAGACACAGTCTCCTTCAGCCTCCCAATATAACTGACTGCTTCCTCCACACTTGCGGTTTTTTCATTTGGAGCATCCCTCCCTCCATACAGGGGAGCTGTTTTCTTTTTTCTTGTCTATTAAACTTTCCACTTCTTAAAACCACTCCACGTTTGCCCATGTCACTAATTTTTTTGGTTTGAGACCAAGGACCTTGGGTGATTCTCCAGACAACAGAACCATATTGCATTCAGATGGTTGGGGGTGGAGGAAAGGGGTGCTTAGAATTTTGATTTTGGTTTACAGAACTTTAAACAAATACTTCTGTCCAAACTCTACCACCCACCATTTAAATCAGATCTTTGGCGGAGAATCAGGCACAGTATTTCTTAAAAGCTTGCCAGGCTATTATTATTATTATTTTATTTTTATTTTTTGAGATGTAGTCTCACTCTGTCACCCAGGCTGGAGTGTAGTGGTGTGATCTTGGCTCACTGCAACCTCTGCCTTCTGGGTTCAAGCGATTCTCCTGCCTCAGCCTTCCGAGTAGCTGTGACTACAGGTGCATGCCACGATGCCTGGCTAACTTTTGTATTTTTAGTAGAGATGGGGTTTCACCGTGTTAGGCCTGCCTCGGCCTCCCAAAGTGTTGGGATTACAGGCGTGAAACATTTTAATGTGTAATCAAGATTCAGAACCATTGCTCTAGAACATACATGGTTGTAGTGATTCAGACTTTATGTTCTCAGAGCCTAGAGGAATGGCAAGGAGAAGCATTAAAAAAAAAAGTCATCTGGCTATTGATAATTTAGGATGACATATTTGGCATTTATTACTATTTGTTTTAAGAAGAATGTAAAACAGAAAAAAAAAATTTTATGTATAATTCAAAATATCAGGATAGAGACATCTAGAGTTGAATTTAGATGCTTACTCAGAATTTCAGTAATCTTTTTTTCCCTCTTTGGCCAATGTTTTTTAAGGTTAAATGCAGAGATAAAATTTCCAGTAGTCTTTTAATTCAGAGTCTTCAAGACTATGAAGTGGATGATTTAGTGATTGTGTGGGAGTTGGGGTGGGCCTGTGTCAACATGAATATATTTCTTCTGGCCTTCTAATAAATTTGAAAAAAAAAAATGACAAAGGAGCCATATGAGGCTGAAAGAGCAACATCGAATCATTATCCCCAGACATAAGGCCTCTAGTATGCTAAGTTGGATTAGATCTTCCTGTATTCCTGTCCTACCACAAATCTAGAGCTTTTGCACCCATTTGCCGTGATTTGAGATTAAGATACTTGTCTCTCCAGCTACATGGAGAATCCTAGCTCTCTCAAGATGTATCCACTGCACAGGGCTTCGGACCCCTGGCAGTGGCCCTAGGCCCTTCCCTGGTACACTCACTGTGTAGCTCGCTGTTCATATCTTGGCAGTGAGCTAAAAGAGAAATGAATCTGCAGCAAGACTGAGAGAGAACCAGACATGAACCCAGTATTTGCCCCTCTATCTCCAAACAGGTAAGTCTGTCTTTGTCTCAAGGAAAGCAGGGAGTTAGAGGCATTAAAAAGAAGTTTGAAATATTCTTCAGTACTGTGTCTTCTCTTTATGAAAATAACATTTCCTTTTCCTCAGCTGCACACAAAATATGTTTTGGAGCAAAAGGTATTATTTCTGTAAGTTAACGTAAGTTAAATGTAAACAACAAGAAAACGATAAAGCTTAACTTATTTAGCATTTGCCTGAAATGCTGAAAAGCTATTCCAAATACTGGTAATGTGTATAGAGGGTATACAACCTAAGGTCTTCATGACAATTTATTCTATTAAAAATAAAGGCTGGGTGCGGTGGCTCACGCCTGTAATCCTAGCACTTTGGGAGGCCGAGGAGGGCAGATCATCTGAGGCCAGGAGTTTGAGACCAACCTGGCTAACATGGTGAAACCCCAGCTCTAGTAAAAATACAAAAATTAGCCAGGTGTGGTGGTACATGCCTGTAATCCCAGCTACTTTGGAGGCTGGGCAGGAGAATCGCTTGAACCCAGGAGGCGGAGGTTGCAGTGAGCTGAGATTGCGCCACTGCACTGCGGCCTGGGCAACAGAGTAAAACTCTGTCTCTAAATAAATAAATAAATAAGATTTCAGCTGGTGCGGTGGCTCATGCCTGTAATCCTAGAGCTTTGGGAGGCCTAGGTGGAAGGATCTCTTGAGCCCAGAGTTTGAGACCAGCCTGGGCAACATAGCAAGACCCCCATCTCTACAAAAAATAAAAACCTTAGCTGAGCATGGTGATGTGTGCCTACAGTCTTAGCTACTTGGGAGGCTGAGGCGGGAGGATCACTTGAGCCATGGAGTTTGAGGTTTCAGTGAGCTCTGATAGTGCTACTACACTCCAGCCTGGGCAACAGAGCAAGAATCTGTGTCTTTAAACAAACAAATAAATAAATAATCCTATAATGTGGGGAAGGCACTTTTACACTAGAGGTCTCAGAATGTGTGCCATTTAAAATATTCCGTGTGCTCCACATAAGAGAAAAAGTGAGGACCATGTGGAGATGACAACCTGCAGTTAGAAGTTGCAAACTATTCTCAGATGGTCTTTATTTTTAAGAACAATTTTTAAAAATTTTATGAATAATAGATTTTCATTTAACTTGTAACAGAAATAAACCTCAATGAAACAATTTGGACCTGAATTTTTCATGCTGAGGAACAGGCCATTTTGCTAATTCCATAATTATATCAACAAATAAACAAATTAGTGTCTACTCAATTTGTTACAAAATTTGGGATATCAGTTGAGCAGCTGGTTGTCTTTGCTTGCCAAATTAATTGTAATGAATGATCTAATTTCTTAAGTAAATGAATTTGAAAAAATGTTGGATTAAGTAGGTTTGTGACTGAATGGTAGAATTATTAGGTTACCCTGTGTTCTGTTATGAGTATCCTGGAAACCACATTTTGGAGTCTGAAACTCTGTTAACAAATGTCACTTTATAGTAAAACACCCTTTGGTCATTAGTCTACTCCCGTAGTTAGCTGAATGAAGCCATTTGAGTATAGTTTAGCAGTTTGAATTTGAGAGCCAATGCTATATTTTATATGTAAGCATGGGACTGGATTTTCACTCCTATTTTTGAAGGCATGTCTTGGCAGCACAGGCCCTACACACTTGACCCATCCAGTTTTAATCATATTCAGCTGTCCCATAAACAGAGAAAGCCCCTGGCCTGTTTTTCTGGAACCGCCTATAGTAATAAGACATGACCCTAATATGAGCTACCCTCAGATCACAGCTTTTGAAGATTGTGAGCACATTTATAATCAAAATTGAAAAGGGTACAGCTGGGCACCGTGGCTCATGCCTGTAATCTCAGCACTTTCGGAGGCTGAGGTGGGTGGATCACGAGGTCAGGAGTTCAAGACCAGCCTGGCCAAGATGGTGAAACCCTGTCTCTACTAAAACAAAAAATTAGCCAGGCATGGTGGCAGGCATCTGTAATCCCAGCTACTTGGGAGACTGGGGCAGAGAATTGCTCGAACTCGTGAGGTGAAAGTTGCAGTGAGCTGAGACCGCGCCATTGCACTCCCGCCTGGGTGACAGAGCAAGACTCCATCTCAAAAGAAAAAAAAAAAAAAAAAAAGAAAGCAAATGACATCAAAAAGTTTTCCCCCATATCTGAACTACTTATTTCTTTTGCCTTACCACATTATCTATTACACTTCCTCCAATGACTGCTGACTATTCAGGGCAGTAGACAGCATTCTTCCTTTTTCTATTTTAATGAAAATAATTTGTTTATTTTAAATGTTTATGATTATTGATTTCTAGGGAATAAACATCAACATGTTTGGAAGCTTCTCTTTATCTTAAATGACTTTTGAAGTATGAAGAATGGCTAGTTGAATTTGTAGCATCAGTTGTTATGATCATGTTTTTATTCTCCTTCCATTTCTTAAAATTTTAAATCATGTTCTTCCAGTTCTCAAGCTATTCCTGAATTTCTAAATTAAATCCTGTTTTGTTGCACTGATTCTTTCATATGTTGATAGATTTGATTTGCTAGTTAGAAAAATATTTCTGACCTATATTCCTAAGTAAAAGTGATATTCTTCTGGGCATGGTGGCTCACACCTGTAATCTCAGCACTTTGGGAGGCCAAGGCAGGTGGATCACTTAGGCCAGGAGATTGAAACCAACCTGGCAACACAGCTAGAACCCTGTCTCTACAAAATAAAAAGTGATCTTCAATTGTCCTGTGTGTGTGTTTACTTTTTATTGATTTTCCCCAGCTTTAAGATATAGTTAATAAATAAAATTATATATATTCAAGGTGTACAATGTGATATTTTGATATATGTATACATTGTTAAACCATTAAGCCAAGCTAATTAACATATCTATCACTTCACATACTTAGTTTGTGGTGAGAACATTATAAAATCTATTCTCTTAGCAATTTTCTTTTCTTTCTTTCTTTTTTTTTTTTAAGATGGGGTTTCACCATGTTGACCAGGCTGGTCTTGAACTCCTGACCTCAAGTGATCCACCCACCTCGGCCTCCCAAAGTGCTGGGATCACAGGTGTGAGCCACCGCACCCAGCCGAAATTTTCAAGATTACAATACATTAACTATAGTCACCATGCTATACAAGAGATCTCCAGAACTTATTCCTCCTGTCTAAATAAAAATTCATACTCTCTGACCAAAATCTCCTCATTCCCATCCCAGCCTCACTCTGCCCCAGCACCTGGCCACCAACATTCTACTCTCCACTTCTATGATTTCAACTTTTTTTTTTTGAGACGGAGTTTCGCTCTTGTTACCCAGGCTGGAGTGCAATGGCGCGATCTCGGCTCACCGCAATCTCCGCCTCCTGGGTTCAGGCAATTCTCCTGCCTCAGCCTCCCGAGTAGCTGGGATTACAGGCACGAGCCACCATGCCCAGCTAATTTTTTTTTGTATTTTTATTAGAGATGGGGTTTCACCATGTTGACCAGAATGGTCTCGATCTCTTGACCTCGTGATCCACCCGCCTTGGCCTCCCAAAGGGCTGGGATTACAGGCTTGAGCCACCGCGCGCCCGGCCTGATTTCAACTTTCTTAGATTCCACATAGAAGTGAGATCATGCAGTATTTGTCTTTCTGAGCCTGGCCAATTTCACTTAGCATAATGTCCTCCAGGCTCATCCATGTTGCTGCAAATAACAGGAATACTTTCTTTTTTTAAGGCTGAACCGTATTTCATTGCATAGCTATATCCCATTTTCTTTATCCATTTATCTCTTGACAGACACTTAGGTTGATTCCATATCTTGGCTATTGTGAATAATGCTGCAATGAACATGGGAATGAAGATATCTCTTTGACATAATTATTTCATTTACTTTGAATATATATCTAGAAATGGAATTGCTGGATCATATGGTGGTTCTATTTTTACTTTTTTGAGAAAGCCCCATACTGTCTTCCATAATGGCTGTGCCAAGTTACATTCCCACCAACAGTGTGCAGGGGTCCCGACTTCTCCACACCCTTACCCACACTTATTATTTTGTCTTTTGGATGATAGCCATACTGACTGTGTGAGGTGACATCTCTTTGTGGTTTTAATTTACATTTCTCTGATCATTAAGATGTTGAACATTTTTTCATATACCTTTTGACCATTTGCAAATGTCTTCTTTTGAGAAATATCTATTCATGTATTTTGCCTGTTTTAAAATGGAATTATTTGTTTTCTTAATATTGAGTTGTTTCAGTTTCTTATATATTTTGATTGTTTCTTATTCTGTGCAGAAGCTTTTTATTTTGATTAAATTCCATTTCTCTATTTTCACTATGTTGCTTGTGTGTTGAGGGCCATATATGATCAAAATATCATCTCCCAGACCAATGTCTTGGAGTTTTTCCCTTATGTTTTCTTTGAGTAGTTTTGTTTTGTTTTTTTTTTAGACAGATTCTCACTCTGTCACCAAGCTGGAATGCAGTGGTGAGATCTCGGCTCACCGCAACCTCTGCCTCCTGGGTTCAAGCGATTCTCTTGCCTCAGCCTCCTGAACAGCTGGGATTACAGGCTTGCACCACCATGCCCAGCTAATTTTTGCATTTTTTAGTAAGACAGGGTTTCACCATGTTGGCCAGGATGGTCTCAAGCTCTTGACCTCATGATCTGCCTTGGTCTCCCAAAGTGCTCAGATTACGGGTGTGAGCCACCGTGCCCGGCTTCTTTGAGTAGTTTTATAATTTCAGGTCTTACATTTAAGTCTTTATTTCATATTTTTTGTTTATGGGTGAGACAGGGGTCTAAGTTCATTCTTTTGCATGTGGATATCCAATTTTCCCAGTACCAGTTGTTGAAAAGACTGTGCTTTCATGAACATTGTATGTTCTTGGTACCTTTGTTGAAGATCAACTGAATATAAATGCATAAACTTATTTCTGGGTTCTCTATTATGTTCCTTTAGTCTATGCATCTGTTTTTATGCCAGTACCATACTCTTTTGATTACTATAGCTTTGTAGTATAATTTGAAATTGGGTAGTATGAGGTCTCTAGCTTTTTTCCTTTTGCTCAACGTTTCTTTGACTATTCAGAGTCCTTTGTGGTTTCATACAAATTTTAGGAATCCCTTTCTATTTCAGGGAAAAATGTCATGGCATTTTGTTAGGCACTGCATTGAATCTGTAGATTGTTTTGGTGGCATGAATATTTTAGCAATATTAATTCTTCCACCTCATCTACATGGGATATCTTTCCATTTATTTGTGTCTTCTTCATCCTTTCATCAATGTTTCATAGTTTTCAATGTACAGGTCTTTCATCCCTTTGGTGAAATTTATTCCTAAGTTTTTTTTTTTGATATAGTGTAAATGGGATTATTTTCTTGATTTCCTTTTTGGATAGTCTGTTGTTAGTATACAGGAATACTGCTAATTTTTCTATGTTAATTTTGTGTCCTTCGGCTTTACTGAATTTGTCTTTTCTAATAGGTTTTTTGATGGAGTCTTTAGGATTTTCTCTGTGTGTGATCATATGATCTGTAAACAGAGACAATTTTACTTTTTTTCCCAACTTGGATTCCTTTTGTTTATTTTTTCTTGCCTAACTGTTCTTGCCATGACTTCCAGTACTGTATTAAACAGCAGTGGTAACAGTGGGCATTCCCATCATGTTCCCGATCTTAGAAGAAAAGCTTTCCAGTTTTTGCCATGGACAAAGATATTAGCTGTGGGCTTGTCATATATGGCCTTGATTAGTTTGAGGTATATTCCTTTATACTCGATCTGTTGAGAGTGTTTATTATGAAGGGATATTGAATTTTGTCAAATGCATTTCCTATAGCTATTGAAATTGTCATACATTTTTTGTTCTTTATTCTGTTCATGTGATCTTATATACTTGCATATGTTGAACAACCTTCCTCTGGGATAAATCTCACTTGACTATGGCATATGATTCTTTTAATGTGATGTTGAATTTGGTTTGTTAGTATTATGTTGAGGATTTTTATATCTATGTTTATCAGAGATATTGGTCTGTAATTTTTTTGTAGTGTCCTTCTGGCTTTAGTATCAGAGTAGTAATAGCCTTCTAAAGTGAGTTTGGAAGTTTTCTCTCTCCTTCAATTTTCTGAAAGAGTATGAGAAAGATTAGCATTAATTCTTCCTTAATTAATGGTTTGGTAGAATTCACCAGTAAAGCTGTTGGGTCCTGGGCTTGTCTTTGTTGAGAAGTTTTTGATTATGATTCAATTTCTTAGCTCATAGATCTGTTCAGATTTTCTATTTCTTCATGATTCAGTCCTGTTGGGTTTTGTGTTTCTAGAAATCTATCCATTTCTTCTAGGTTATCCAACTTGTTGGCATACAATGGCTGATAGTAGTCACTTATGATACTTTCTTTTTTGACACAGGGGCTAGATTGTAGTGGTGCAATCTCAGCTCACTGCAACCTCTGCCTCCTGGCCTCACATGGTCCTCCCACCTCAGCCTCCCTGGTAGCTGGGAACACAGGGAAGTGCCACCATGCCTAATTTTTTTGTAGAGACAGGGTTTCACCATGTTGCCTGGGCTGGTCTTGAACTCCTGAGCTCAAGTAATCTGCCTACTTTGGCCTCCCAAAGTGCTGAGATTACAGGTGTGAGCCACTGTGCCTGGTCTTTATGATCCTTTTTTATTTCTGTGATATCAGTCATACTGTATCTTCTTTCATTAATAATTTTATTTGCACCTTCTCTCTTTTTTGTCTAGCTGAAAGTTTGTCCGTTGTGCTTATCTTTTTTAAAAAATTAATTCTTAGTTTTATTGAGCTTTTCTATTGTTTTTCTACCCTTTCATTTATTTCTGCCTTGATATTATTTCCTTCCTTCTGCTGACTTTGGTATTAGTTTGTTCTTCTTTTTTCTAGTTCTTTGAGGAATAAAGTTAGGTTTTTTATTTGAAATCTTTCTCATTTCTTCTTTATGTAGGCCTTTATTTCTATAAACTTCCTTCCTAGAACTGCTTTTGCTGTATCCCATAAGTTTTGGTATGTTATGTTTCCATTTTCATTTGTCTCAAGATATTTTTTTATTTCTCAAAAGGGTGATAACGATGTTATGAATAAGACTACCCGATGTCAGTATTGACCAGAGTCTAAGACACTCCCAAATTCACAAACAGGTCTAAATCTGCCTGTCCCACAACGTTTCACTCAGCAGCAGGGCTGCTCTCAGGCAGTCTTTGCAGGCAAAAGTCCTTCCATCTGAGTTTCAGGTTTGGAGATAAAAATCTTTTTGGATGTGAATCACTCACAGGTGTTCTGCAGCGTGCCTTCTGACCTGCGGCCTCCTGTGCCTTCCAGGCAGCCACAACTCCTTCCAGAGACTTCCAAGATGTACTGCCACAGAGGCTGCGTATCTCTGGTCAGTAACTAGTTCTTTGAGATGAGAATAAACAAACAATAATGAAATGATTCTGTCAGGAGATTTATCTTCTAAAAACTGCTGTCTGGAGAAAGATGCTAGTGTTAACAGATGATCAAATAAATATTTTCCCTATAGCCACTGAAAATTCCCCGAAGAAGCAATAACAAAGGAGAAAATGATACCTGGGATGAAGGTAACAATGTGCTGAAGAGCAGACAATATACCACAGGAGTAAAACACAATTTGAACAAAAATGAAAGACTCTAGCAGCCAACTGACAATGGATAGACGTTTAGTACATTGCTGGGTGGTAGGAGGCAAGTGGGGGTAATACTGAGGTCTCCTGTGAATTTCTCTCACCTAAGAAGCACAAGGGCTGGATACATGGTTTGGGCAAAGATAGGAAGTTTTCTTCATAGAAGATGCCAAGACTGGCAGAGCTGGAGGGCAAATTTATTCACTAAATAGTGTTGGAATTAAAAGGAGCTTCTCAGTCAAGCAACTCTGTTGGACTGGAGAAGGTTGTACCTCCTTCTGGGGGGGTCTGGAGTCTGACCTTGGGCCTCTTGCTGGGCTACAGATTCAGACCTTTCTGAAGAATCCAGAGGTGAGGAAGGGGGATCAGGCTGAGCTAGAGAAAAGTCGGCCTGCTCAGTGGGAAGAGGAGGGTTGTCCTGCTGGACTGGAGAAGGTTCAGCCTCCACAGTGACTGCTGTAGGTATGTAAGCTCCAGATCCACATTTTTAACTGCGGTATTAGGCAAAGTTGAATTACTTCTGAATATTGAAGTCAGATCTAGAGGTGAAAATACCATCTCATCATTCAGTGAACTTACAAATTCTGAGGAGAGCTGAGTTGGAGGCTGAGTTGTGGGCTCTTGATGGCCTGGAGGAAGTCCATCATTTTCGGGGGTATTTAGCTGCTGAATTATAATCTCTTGCTGGTCTTTCAAATGTTGAAACTGCTCCGGGGACATTAAGGACTCAGCTGGGGCTTCCTGTTGGGTTAAAATTTCAACCTGATTAGTGAGATCTGGAGTCATGGTAACCATGTGATCCACAGGTTTAACAGTGACATTGTGTAATGTTAGAGGAGGAACCGTTACCTCATGATGCTGTGGAGGTTGAACCACACTTTCATTAGGGAGCTCTGAAGGCTGAGCTGGGGTCTCTTTCGAGGATAGAGAGGATTCAACCTCCTCAGAGGTCTGTGGATGCTCAGCTGCAGCCTCCTGCTGTGTTGGAGAGGGGTTCTCATCCTTAGCAGGTTCTGGAGATTGAACTGAAGTCTCCTGCTAAACTGGTAAAGGTTCAGCCTCTTCCGATGACTATGGAGATAGAGGTGGGCCCTGTGCTGGGTGACGGAACATTCTACATCATTAACTGGCCCTGAGAACTGAGCTGTAGCCTCCTGGTGCATTGGAGAAGTTCCTACCTCTGCAGTAGGCTCTGTGGCTATCTGGAGTCTTAACAGTGACATTGAGCAAATCCGAATGAACTTGATGGTGACCTGGAGGTGAAACTGTTACTTCATGATGTTCTGGAGGTTGGGCTGGGGCCTCCTGCTGGCTCTCAGAAGGTTAAACCTCCCTGAGAAACTCAGAAGGCAGAGCTGGCTGCTCCTACTCACTGGAGGAAAGTTAGGCTCCACAGGAGGACCTGGAGCCTCAGTTGGGGCCTCCCCTTAGGTTGCAGAAGTTTTTGCCTCCTCTGGATGCTGGGTTGGGGCCTCCTGCTGGGCTGGAGAAGGTTCAGTCTCCTCGATAGGCTCTGAAGGTATGGTAACCTCCACATCTGCAGGTCTAACTGTAGCATTGGACAAGTTATAAGGAGCTTGATCCTCATCTGGAGGTTGAACTGTCGAATTTGAGCTGCTCTCTCCATAGAGGACTCTGGAGGCTGGGCTGGGACCTCCCTGGGAAACTCAGAAGGCTTCTTCTTTCTCTAGGGGAAAGTTCAGACTCCACAGGAGGACCTGGAGGCTCAGCTGGGGCCTCTAATTGGGTTGAGGAAGAGTCCACCTCCTCAGGGTGCTCTGGAGGCTGAGCTGGGCCTGTTCCTGGCTTGACGTAAGTTCTTTGCCTGGCTCTGGAGTTACTGTAAGCTCCACACCCACAGGCTTGACTGACATTGGGCAAGTGTGAGTGCTGAGCTTCACTCCAACTTTTTAATGGAATATTTACCTGATGATGTAGTAATGGCTGAGCTACAATCTCTCAGAGGCAGGGAGCTGCTATGCTGGGGCCTCGTGCTCTGTTAAAGAGTAGACCTCCTCAAGGGACTCTGAAGGCAGAGCTGGGGCGTTCTGCTGGGTTGAAGAAGGTTCTACCTCCCCAGGGAGCTGTGGAAGCTGCGCTGGGGCTTCTTGCTGATGTAGAGGACTGGATCTCTTCAAGGGTCTTTGGATGTTGAGTTTCAGGCTCTAGATAGAATTGAGAAAGTCCAACTTGCTCAGGGGGCCCTGGAGGCTCATCTGAGTTCACCAGGAGTCCTGGAGGCAGGCTGACCAGATACAGCATATCCATACTTGAATCTAAATACTCGTCCTGCAGAGTTTGTTTCTGACACTGAGGTTTTGATACAAATCGGTGTGGAGTTCTAACAACCACCTTGGCAAGCCCGTGACGCTGTGCTAGATCTTTCTTCCGGTTCTTGGGCGAAACAGTTAAAGATCGTTCGTTTTGAATTCTATCTAGAGGTGGAACACGTATTTCATATGCCTGATGATCTGCAGCCTGATCTATATCTACAGTTTGAAACTTACTTTTGAGGCGAAGAGGCCGAGCTAGGGCCCGGTTCTGACCCCAGTCTAGCATGGCAGCCACCTCTGGGAGCCTTCCTTGCCGAGTCAGCTTGTCATTCAGATCCCGGTGTGCAGCGGCCAACTGCTCTGGCCCTGGGGCAGCGCTCCAGCTGAATCCCCGTCCTGGAACGGAACCAAAGCCTGGGCCAAAGACTCAGTCAATTCCTGAGGCGGGGCTGACATCTGGGAGGAAGCAGAGGACCCCAGACAGTCAAAGTCCCCGGTCTGCCCGGAAGTGGGGGGTAGTCCCTGGGGGCGATTCAGGTGGGAGATCGGAGGAAAGGGAAGACCAGGACTCAGTTGGCCCCAGGGGGTTCAGAGGTCAGCTGGAGCGGGTCCTGGAGCTACTGCAGAGACTGGGCCGCCTGGACTAATAGCCACAATAGTTGCCACGTGGGGACGGGCCGTGTGGCCCAGAGACGCAGCCGGCACGGACGCGCGCTGGCGCCGCGCCCTGAGCAGGAGTCATTACTGCAGCCCCGAGACGCTCTAGTCCCTGGGAACTGCGCGCCGGCGGGTCCTTTATTAACGTCACCTTTATTTACGCAGCCTTTATGAGGCTCGGGTCCAGAGCCGCTCCGCGTCACCAGGTGGATCTTATTCCACAATCCCGCCCAAGCCTCCCTTCCCGTCCCGCCCCGCCGGAACATCCCTCCCCTCCCCTTAGGGAGGAAAGATTTGGGCCGCAGACCCCGTGGTCCCGGGACTCCAGCAGCCTGGTGGGGTGGGGTGGGGTGGGGTGGGGCGCGGCACAGCTTCCCAACGAAGTTACGGGACCTCGCTTCGGGATTTCGGAAGGGCCAGCTCAGTTCTGGCAGCCTGAACTCTTCCTCCTCCAAGCTGAAATCCGAGAGATATTCTTCCTCCTCTTGGCCATAGGAAGGAGTATCTATCTTCCTCCTCTTTCCAGGGAAAGCAACTGACTTGCAAAATGTGCGCTGGTTAGGGTGGCAGGCAGAGCACACAGTACAGTCATTTATTCCAAAATGTTGCAATTTTCGCTAAACTTTCCATATCCTTTGTTGTATGTTTGATCATTAATTCACCACCCTATTACGTAGGGGCTGCCAGGGAATAAGCGAGGACTCTAATTTTCTATGGGAGGGATTTTGGGAGGTGGGTAATTCTGTCTGGGAGAGAGGGCTTTAATCCCAGTGAATAGCCCTTTGCACTAGCCTGGGAGGAGTCTGAACTGTCATCCCGCCTTGACAACACAGCCATTAAGAAGTCACAGCGCCACTCTTTTTTTTTTTTTTTTTTTTTTTTTTTTAATACGGAGTTTCACTCTTGTTTCCCAGGCTGGAGTGCAATGGCACGATCTCGGCTCACTGCAACCTCCGCCTCCTGGGTTCAAGCGATTCTTCTGCCTCAGCCTCCCAAGTAGCTGGGACTACACGCACGCGCCACCACGCCTAGCTAATTTTTTGTATTTTTAATAGAGACGGTTTCTCCATGTTGGTCAGACTGGTCTGGAACTCCCCATCTCGGGTGATCTCCCCTCCTCGGCCTCCCAAAGTGCTGGGATTACAGGCGTGATCCTGTAACACAGCCATTACCCTAGAAGTTACAGCGCCACTCTTGAGAGGTCTCCCCTGTGTGCACATATGGAGAAGACGCTTAAAGTCAGCATGTTAAATAATTTTCCGAAATGCGACTGTAAGTAGAACCCAGCTGACTTCCCCCACAGCCATTTTTACCTATTTTATTACTCATTGTCTGACACAATCACAAAGTTCGGTGGTACTGATACCTACCTTTTAGAATTGTTTGAGGATTTAATGGGATAATGAATGTAGACTGCTTTGCAAACAGTGAGCTTTGAATAAAAGGTATGTATTATAAAATCATAATTAAAAAAGAAATTAGAGCCAAAAAGAAAAATATTAACATTCTGTGATAGTCAAATACGTATGTTATATTGCTAAATTATATGTTTAAATTTCAAAAAATTAGTTAAAAAATGTATTTTCCGTATTTCATTATTCAGCTGCAGCCTGCAGTGGAAACGTGGTTAGGAAGTCCTTTCTGTGCATTCTGAGTATGTCAGGATTTAAAATCCAACCTCATGGTTAAGATATAATTCATTTACATGTCAGAGGCTACACTCATAAATATACGTGAATAATCGTCCCCCAATTTTTTTTCGAGTTAATATTTTTGACCCAAATTGAGTAATAAAGAGGTCTTGGTATCTC